AAAAGGGTCCAGGAACTAATTTATTACCTCCAAGTGCTCAGAATGAACTCACAGTCCCAGATCTATAGCTCCTTCTTGTTCCTCCAAGTTCCTTCTTCCTTTTCCAAGCTTTAATGCACCCTCCAAGGCTCAACTAGGAGATGTGACGGCTAGGGTTTGATATCCAGGGCTAAAGAGGCAGTAAGGAACCCTAGGAAGAAGATTAAGACATTTATATAGGCTCCAAGTCCCGAATTTAGGGTTTTCCACGCACAGACCAGACTCGCCGAGTCACCTTGGCCGACTCGCCGAGTCGGTCGCTTACACTAGACCCGGATCCCGCTGGACTCGCCGAGTCCCTCCTTGGACTCGCCGAGTCGGCCCTTAAATTAGGGCTTTTCTTTCCTTTCATGGCTTTTAAGACTTGGGTGTTACAACTCTCCCCCACTTAAACTAAACTTCGTCCTCGGAGTTTACTATACTCCACCGCCTACGATCTGCCTCCAAAACCCCACCAATTATTTCAACACCAGTTGCCTACCTTCGCTGGTCTTCCACCCGGTCATTCTGACTAGCAACACTCCTTGCGGTTAATCATCTCGGGTTAATCCTAACCCTGAACATACTGGAGATACAACTTACTCAGCCGTCAATCCCTCTGGTACTCTCCGAGTACTGCACTGAACCCATAGGGTTCACCCCCCCCCCCTTTTTTTTCCTCACGCGATTCCCTTTCCTTCCCAAGGCGATGCTCCACAAACAACTATTTCCTCTGTCACTATGAAGATCCTATCTTCACCGATCCATAATTCCCGCTAAATCCAATACGGGGCATCACCGCCAGTAACCACTGACACTCATCTCTTGTCATAACTTGGTGTCGAGCACTCCTTGACTCAACTAACTGAATTCCACCTTAACCCGCTTTCCCGCACTACAACAGACTAGATACTTCTGTCATTCCTCATTTGCCTTCCCGATGAACTGAGACCACTCTAGTCCCTACCAACCTATCAATATCTGGATTACCGGCTCCCACGGTAGCTAGTCCCAAAACCATCACTAGTCGCTCTCAGCGTCTTCCAAAGAAACCTCGACTACCTTCAACTGCTCAAACAATTCTGCCACTCAAACACTACAAACCTGGGATCCCCGATCCCCTAACTTGACACTAAGGTCCCTACTAGGTCCCACCTGTGTGCTAAAAACTCACGGGCCTCGCCCACGGGGTCTCACTCGACCATACTATTGAGCAACCCTGCTCCTAGGTCTCATGTACACTGCTAATCTCATACGGGCCTCGCCCACGGGTCTCACCCAACTATATCCTGGAGCGGCCTCTCCCAAGGTCTCACCTCGCTAGGGCTATACAGGCAACTCCCTATCATTCTCAACCACTACCCATCCTGATCCACATCTGATCACTAGAAATAAGGGCCTCGCCCCAACTCCGCTAACGAAGCGACTAAGGAATGCTACGGCTTACCCATAGCCTGACAATACTTCCACCACTGACTGCTAGCACGAAACCATCTCCTGCAATTTGACCTCAAGATCCCCATTCCGACTTACACGAGTTCTACATGCGGCCCTTTAACCTGAATCCGGACCACATACCCACCATTACCCTTTCACGCACGCACTGATGGGAAGTTCTCAAACTCCCAACCCCGAACTTCTAAACGCTGAACTACCCCCTTTCCTTCTCAGAAATCATAAACCCGATCTGGATTTGCATGCCCTTACCCTATACACTCGGAGGATTCTCCCCCACTTCGGTCCTGCTTACGCCTCGATGCTTAGAGAAGAGAAATCCCAATCCTTGCTACCATAATCAATCCACTGAGGAATCCCAAGCTTACCATAGCTAAGGATCTAACTTGTCCATTCTAAAACTTATACGACTCCGAACTAGCAAGACATACCGAGTCTCTCCAAGGCATGCTACAGATACTGCGCTCAAAGTAACCTTCTTCGATACAACGCACCCCTTAACTTCTAACCCAAATATCTAAGGTATGCAAATGGCATATAACTCGATCGAAGTCAACCCGCTCAAAAATAAAATACTCACACAGATAATGATGCAGAACCATAACAAATATATCATGCACAAAATAAAAGAACTGAGAACGGAAGTGCATACCTGCAACGTCCGGCGCTGCTCGCATCTCCAAAGTAGCCATCTGAAAAGCCCTACCTCCAACTGCAGGCGCCTCCGCACGGCCCTGACGACTGTCCGTGATCCTCAAAGTTGCAGGGGCAGGTGCCATCACCCGTCCTGCTGAAAGAAAAGTGGGGCACCGGGGCTTCTTGTGGCCCCGCTGATTGCAGTGAAAACATATCAAGTTTGATCCCTGAGTGATGGTAGCAGTACAATCTCTGCTAAAATGACCAGTCCGACCGCACCTGAAACAGCCAGACTCACCACCACTACCACTCCTGCATGCGCCCCCGTGCGTCCTGCCACACCTTCCGCATCGACTGCGGTCCTGATAATCCCTCGACCTCGACTCTGATCCCTTGGGCCTTTTGCCCGAACTCGCGGCTACCTGAACCTCATCCGGCTTCCTCTTCCGGATCTGCTCCAAATCAATTTCCCTCTCCCTAGCCCGAGAAATCATATCCTCCAGAGTCTTACATCCGGACCTGCTGACGAACTCCCTGATGTCATCCCTCAGCATCTCGTGATATCGCGCCTTCTTCATCTCCTCATCTGCGACATACTGCGGAACAAGAAGGGCTCTCTCCCTGAACTTGGCGGTGATCTCCGCCACAGTCTCCGTAGTCTGCGTCAAATCCTGAAACTCCCGGGCCAACTGTTGCACCTCAATAATCGGCAAAAACTCCGCTCTAAACCTCGCTAAGAAATCACTCCAAGTCATCGCGTCCAATGCGGCATCATCACCCAAAGCGTGACCAATCTCCTCCCACCAATCCCTCGCTCTGTCCTTCAGAAGACAGGAAGCGAGTCTGACCTTGTCCTCCTCAGGACACCGGCTCGTACAGAATGCGTTGGCAACATCAGCCAACCATCTGCTGCTAGCGATGGGGTCCCTAGCCCCATGATAATCTGGTGCCCCGCAAGCCCTGAACTCCCGAAATGTCAAGGTACGCGCTCCCAACAAAGCCATCATCTCAGTACGGAAGGCTCCCAGCCTCTCATCCAAAATCTCTAATATACCCTCCTTGACCGTGCCAAAGATCACAGACGAGTCTGAGCTAGAATACTGCGCGTAACCTCCGCTGATATCAACTCTCTCATCCGCTCCTCGAGCTGCTCGGCCCCTATTCCCGAGCCTAATCCCTCTCTGGCGCCTGGTCCGCCCGTTGGTCCCTCTTGCAATGTCACCATACTGAAACATACAACATAACCACTATCGGAATACTCCTCACTGCTGCGAGACCAAACATACTCACTACCAGGTTCCCGGTCTTGTCTCAGCCTTTCCCGAATCGAGTACGGATCCTCTGCTTTCAGTAGTACGGGCCCATACTACCTTCCACATCTATCCATACTTTCCTCAAGAACCGCTTTGACTCCACCAGGTCCCTTTTCTACTTCTATTGCTCCCAGCACTACCTCATCCTAAGCTTACCCTAGGGAAACCTTTGACTCAACTCAAACCAGTCCTCAGCTGCTGAAGGCCTCCTCGCAATGCCAATTAGCCATCACCTGGATACCATCACATGTGATGAGGCTCAGATAATCCTTCAAGTAAAAGACTCATTCTTACAACGGTTGGACTCAAACAAGAGCTGCGCAATAGGACCAAATCCAACACTCTGAGATTATTCAACCCTGATCACATGTGACGTGACGTATCCACCTAATGGCTAACTCCCATCACTTAGAATCCCACAATGCACAAAGCAAGCAGCATTCAGACAAGGGGAAAGTCTAACCATAACATACTCAAGCAGTCATATCCACATAGCAAGAATCTGAACTAGCATACAACACAACTCATAAACTCAGGCATAACCTAATCAGGATATCCTACTACTGACTATTCAGCACTATCATGCAGATCAAAAGCACATATAACAGGCACATAAGGCATCCTCCCTAGATCCTTAGTCCTAATCTAGCATGCTGTTCTATTAACTGATAATCAAAACATAAACTTCTATGGGTATTTTGGGGTGTACTTACTTGAGCTCGGTTGATTGCATGCACCACACCTCTCTTCTCTTTTCAAAGTTCTTTTCTTTCTGAATTCTTTTTATTTTATAAAACCATTTTCTTTCTCAAAACTCTCTTTACAAAACTATCTTTTCGCTTTTGAAAACTTTTTATCCGACCCCTCAATTTGAGTTCAGGCACACCCGAGAGTATGCCCGAATCCCTCAAACCAAGGCTCTGATACCAACTTGTAACGACCCAAAATTTAAGACCAAAAATTTCTTTTAATAAATCATTACTTAAAGTAAAGTCATCATTCCAAAACATAACGTGAGTATAAGTTTTCAAAACACATGTTCATTATCAGAGTAAACATTCCCAGGCTGTCTAATCTATGGTGTGTGCCATGCGATCACCCCGAGCTCTTCCCTCCGCTACCGGAAGTACCTGAAACCAAAACTGAAAACCGTAAGCACGAAGCTTAGTGAGTTCCCCACCCTACCACATACCATGCATAACCACATACTACACATACTGGGCCACGCCCCCTATCTTGGGCCTCGTCCCCTACCTCGGGCCCCCGCCCGCTACAACGGCCCCGCCGCTCCAGGCCCGCCTGGCTTCGAGCCCCGCTCGGATACAGATCTGTTTTACTTAGGCCCCACCTGTCATAGGGCCTCGCCCGCCAACAAATAATAACACATAAACATTTCATAACTAACACATACAACTAGTTTTGTCCTAAAGCCTCGCCTATCCTGGGCCTCGCCCATATCCTGCTACTAATGAGTCATGGAACCCCGTCCACGCTACTAATGGTAGTGAGGTACGGGCCTAGCCCACTCCCACGCCTGTTCTAGTTCGGGCCTCGCCCCTATTCTGCTACTAATGAGATATGGAACCCCATCCACACTCTGCTACTGGTGAGATACGGGACCTCGCCCACACTCACCTCCCTACCAGGCACATACATGTATCACACAGACAACAATTATAAACTATCATATAAACAATTCCTTGGGCACCCGCCCGCTATTACAGGACCTCGCCCTGAGAATAATACTAGCATACTGTGCCTAGGGCTAACCCCCGGGTCTTCTACTCATAACTACATGGGCCGGCATTGTGGCCTTAGACCCATTCACACAAAGGGAAACTCACCTGCACTGGCTGAACTTGCAGATGATCTCACTAGCTGCTGCCCGACAACTCACGGAACTCCTGCTCCCCTTGCTCCCCGAACTACCAATATCAATGCAACACTGAGTCTAACTGACCCCCGAAAGACAACCAAGTCCACCCTGGTCCAAAGTCAAAGTCCTGGTCAAAGTCAACCTTCCAGGTCAACCCTACTCACCGAGTCACCCTACTGACTCGCCGAGTTCATAATATTCAGATTCCTTCCATTCGTGACTTGACTCGCCGAGTCAGTCCATGACTCGCCGAGTCTACCGATTTCTGAGTCCACACCTGTCCAACTCACTGAGTCTCCACCCGACTCACTGATTCGAGTCACAACTCGAAGGGTTTGGGGTTTCGCAACCTGACTCGCCGAGTCCAAGAACAGACTCGCCGAGTCCAAGGCAATCATCATACGACTCAACGAGTTGTTCATCCCACTCGTCGAGTTTCTCCACAACTTCATGCTACTCGCCGAGTCCCTTCAGTTCTCCTTACATGCAGAGGATTTTTGAGTCATGCATGGACTCCAAACTATAGATCCACCCTTCCCAAGCCTATTCCACACGTAAAGTTGCAAACTTTACGTGTAGAGAAGGAGATCTAGGCAAAATATGCCATAAACTAGAGTGTAAGGCCAAGGGGCATCAAAATCGACTTAATGGATGATACTTTATGCTTCTCCAGGCCATAACACACTTGGATCTGGAGTAGCAGCTCCAGATCCGGCTTCTAACTCAAAATAATAACATTATCGCTAAAGAGCCCCAACAACCACACATAGATCTAGGTGCAAAAAGGGTCCAGGAACTAATTTATTACCTCCAAGTGCTTAGAATGAACTCACAATCCCAGATCTATAGCTCCTTCTTGTTCCTCCAAGTTCCTTCTTCCTTTTCCAAGCTTTAATGCACCCTCCAAGGCTCAACTAGGAGATGTGACGGCTAGGGTTTGATATCCAGGGCTAAAGAGGCAGTAAGGAACCCTAGGAAGAAGATTAAGACATTTATATAGGCTCCAAGTCCCAAATTTAGGGTTTTCCACGCACAGACCAGACTCGCCGACTTGCCGAGTCGGTCGCTTACACTAGACCCGGATCCCGCTCGGACTCGCCGAGTCGGCCCTTAAATTAGGGCTTTTCTTTCCTTTCATGGCTTTTAAGACTTGGGTGTTACAGAATATGAACATGAATGGGATGATGAAGATGAACATACTTTTGATAAAACTGTTAGAGACCCATTCTTGGACAAACTTTCAGGGCATATTAGTGATGATGATGAAGAGGAAGCAAACAATGGGAAACTTAAGGATGTTGTGTTCCCTGTCCATAATGAGAATCAAGAATGGGAGCAAATGGTGCCAGTTTTGGGTATGAAGTTTTCTAATCCATTGGAATTGAAGTTGTGTATCACCAACTATGCAGTCAAAAAGGGATATGATTTATGGTATGAGAAAAGTGATCATGAAAGGTTATTGGTAAAATGTTGTAAAGGTAAGACAAATAAACAGGGTAAAGGTTGTCCTTTTAGATTATGGGCAACCTGGATGAGCAGTGAAAAATCATTCCAGATTAAATCTCTGAATGATATGCATAATTGTGCAAGAGTGTTCAAATTTGGGTCCATTGTTACCTATAAATGGATAGCAAAGCATTTCATGAATCATATACTTCAGAAACCAAAGATGAGTATAAGGACGTTGAAAGCTAAAGTCAGCAAGAAATTTAATTTGATTGCAAGTGTTGGTCAATGCAGAAATGCAAGGAAGTATGCATTTCAGGAGATAGAGGGTACTTTGAAAGAGCATTATGCAAAAACATGGAGCTATGGAGAAGAGATAAGAAGGACTAACCCTGGATCAACAGTGAAGATGGATGTAGATGTCATGCCTGATGGAACCACATATTTCTCAAAGTTTTATGTATGTTTCAAGGGATTGAAGGATGGATGGATTGAAGGTTGTAGGAGGGTAATTAGACTAGATGGTTGCTTCCTAAAGGGCATATGCAGAGGTCAGTTGCTCTCTGCTATAGGTAGAGATGCAAATAACCATATATATCCCATTGCTTGGGCTGTTGTATTAGTGGAAAGTAAAGAAACATGGAAGTGGTTTATTGACCTTCTAATTGAGGACCTTGGAATGGGAGTTGGGCATGGACTAACCTTGATATCAGACCAACACAAAGTAATCAATTTTTGTTGTTTAAATTTTGTGTCTATTGCTAACAGGGATTACTTGAGGCTGTGAAGGAAAGGGTCCCAGCAGCAGAGCATAGGCAATGTGCTAGGCACATATGTGCTAACTTCCTGAAAAGGTTTAAGGGCCAAGTGTTTAGAAAGCTTTTCTAGTATGCTGCTGCAGCTACTACCCCTGCAAAATTTGAACAACACATGAATGAAATCAAGAAATTAGAGCCACTAGCTTATGACCATTTGATGGAAAGGGACCCTAAAACTTGGAGTAAAGCATTTTTAAGACTGATAGGGCTTGTGATGCATATGAAAATGGTATCTCTGAGAGTTTCAACTCTGTGATTGAAGTTGCTAGGAAGAGACCACTAATCACCATGTTAGAAGAAATTCAAATTTATGTGATGGAGAGGCTTTATAGACAGAAGATTAAGGGGCAATCTTGGGATTTAACCATATGTCCTACCATTAGGCTAAAGTTGTCCAAGCTTAAGGATCTTCAAAGGTAAGTGCTTAAAACTGTTTGTCCTTATATATGTTTGTCTTTAAACATGTTTGTCCTTATATATGTTTGTCTTTAAACATGTGTATATGGACAGGTTTTGGAAAGTAATACCATCTGGTTATCAACAATATGAAGTCAGACTTGGGTATGATGCATATGTTGTGGATATTGGTAGTAGGACATGTGCCTGCAGAACTTGGCAGTTAACAGGTTACCCTTGTGTGCATGGGTATGCTTGCATTGCAAGCCTCAACAGGGATGTAGAGGAGTATGTGTCACCATGGTTTACCACATCAATGTACCTAAACTGTTACAGGAATACCATTAACCCACTAAATGGTAGTGACATGTGGCCTCATGTAGACTACATCAGCCCATTGCCCCCCAAAAGGAGAAGGCTACCAGGAATACCATCAACAAAAAGGAAAAGGGATCAGATTGAGAGGAAAAAACCAAGAAAAAAATCATTCAATCACAGGAAAGAGGTAGTGTGATGAAATGCAGCATATGTAGGGAAAGTGGGCATAATAGAACAACCTGTCCTCAGAAACCAATTGGGGAATCATCAAATGCAAGTTCAAAGAAAAAGAAATCCAAGAAAGCTGGTATGTTTAATATATTTATTTGTATATAACTTGTATAACTTAACATATTGGGCATAACTTAACTTTTCAAGTAATACAAAACAGATAAAGTGAAGGTTGTATTGGCACGTGAAGTTGATATTGACAGTGACAGTGAAGTTGAAATAGAACCTGAAAGTGATGTTGACTCTTTTGATCTTGAATTTGAAGATGATGTGCAACCTGAAGTTGAAGATGGAGTAGAACCTGAAGTCCAAGATGGAGTGCAACATGAAGTTCAAGATGAAGTGCAAGCTGAAGTTGAACCTGAAAATCATCCTAAAGTTCATGATGTTAACCAAGTTGAAGTTCACCTTGCAGTTCAAGCTGAAGTTGAACCTGAAGTGCAAGTTAAAGTTGAAGATGCTAACCAAATTGTAGTTCAAGATCAAGTGGAAATACCAGCTTTTCAAGTTGTAGTGGGAAAGAGGGCAAGGAAACCTTCAGAAAGAATTACAAAACTGAAGATAAGAAAGATGTGGGAGGGAAAACAGGGCAGTAGTGATGACAATCCGTATGAGTTGGATTAACTTTTGGCTTATTGTACTGTTGTTAATGTTTTTGGCATCTTTGACTGACATCTTTTAACTTTAGAATCTTTTGGCACATCTTTTGAAAACTAGTTGGAATAGCTTAACTTTTTGCACATCTTTTGGGTGTAATGAATGTTTAACTATGTTATGTAAAACTTTTGACACATCTTTTGAAGTCAATGTTCCCTGGAATGTCTATAATATATTACCATCTTTTGCACATCTTTCTAATACCATTAGTATTATTTATAATTTATTACCAACTTTTATAATATCAACTGTAATCACAATTCCTTTACAGTGTAATCATAATTCCATTACATTGTTTAAACAATTCAATTCCAATGATTCACAATAACATTACAAGTTTTGTACACTACCATTCCAATGATTTAATTACCATATTTTGCACATCTTTCTAATACCATTTGTATTATTTATAATTTATTACCATCTTTTAGAATATCAACTGTAATCACAGTTCCTTTACAATGTAATCACAATTCCATTACATTGTTTGAACAATTCAATTCCAGTGATTAACAATAACATTACAAGTTTTGTACACTACCATTCCAATGATTCAATTACAATGATTCAATTCCATAACAATGTTTATTACTATCTTTTATACTACCAAGTTTAATACCCATTCCATTACAATGTACTATTCCATTCCAATGATAGAATATAACCTTTTTCATTGAAAACATCACAAAAGCATACATAATTTAGTCATACTACATCATAATACATAATTTAAAACAACATTTTGACATACAAGAGAAACAAGAAAATTAATGCAAGTCTATGGGTAAACAATTTCCAGTTGACTTTGTCAAGTTCTTATTTATTCCTGTTCTTCTCTTGTTCAATCTTCATCCTGCATATGCTGATTTCATTCTCCAAGGTACAAATTTTCAAGGTAAGATTGCAGCTTTCTTCTGCTTTCATCCTGTAATGCCCTCTTCCATCTTTCCTCCCTTCATCCTCATCCAACCATTGCTAAAATTTACAGCTTGGACTTTTTCTATTCTTCAAGAAATTTATAAGAACATGTTAAATTGAAGGATGAAGAAGAAGTAAAAAATATGAATTACCAGTGAGTTTTGACAAACTCTGAATTTCCTTCCAGGATTGTCTGGGGTTCTTGATGTCTTCACACGAGATGGCAAAATCGCAATCACATGGATGATCCGATTGCAATTCGTCTTGTCGTTTGGAAGAAAAGGATGAGGACGAAGATGCCATCGATCGATCTAGGGTTTTAATTAATAAGCTGTCGTATCTCACCCTCTTATAATGTAAACACTTCTCAATGCCACGTAGGTGATGAGTATTGTAGCGTACAAGCCACGTAGATGCCACATCACACAAAACCTACAATAGCCAGTAATGTTGGTTATTTTTGAACGGCTGAAACAAGTTAGTTGGGTAAATGAGTACAAAAAAAAAAACAATATTACCCATATGTGAACATTTGAAATACTTAATTACCTTAATAAGTCAAATTCCCCAAAAAGATTATCCAATGTCTTCGTACTACTTTTAAGAATAGAAAATCACATAAAAACTTTTAAGTTTTCACAAAAATATCGATTTTACCCTTGGATGTATTTTAGATCCTGTAAAGTAAAATGTTTTGTTTAATTTGTTCATTTATACCATTTTAACCGGTTTCTAAGTAACCTACTGGTTATCTAATAAAACTAAAGCACTTGGATGTGTTTTAGATCCTGTAAAGTCAGATGTTTTGTTTAATTTGTTCATTTATATCATTTTAACCGGTTTCTAAGTAACCTACTGGTTATCTAATAACACTAAAGCACTTGAATTTTCAAAAATGTTCGGATTTATCTTCAATTAACTCATTATAATCGAAAATGTATATGATGAAATTTTTTATTTTAAGATCGATTTCTATCATTTACAAATTCAGTTATAAAAAGGTTTTTTCTTTTTTTCTTTTTTTTTTTTTTAATTGTTGATGAATATTTAACTGAAAAAGGAGTTAAATAATATCAAAATAAAGTTAAATGACCTAAATTCTCGGTGGCCTACGTGGCATTCTAGGAAAAAATATATGATCAAAACATATGGGGTATGTTTAATGTCTTGAAAAAACAATTCCATATATCAAAGAGAATGACTCCTTTCCGTTGGTTACATAAAAACATAACCATTGCATGTTTTGTGTTTATAAAAAAAAAAAACATCTGATATACAAGAATATTGACATACATAACCTTGTAATCACACCATAAAATCAGCATTCGTTTCGTAATCCTACCATAAGTTCCATGTAGCACTCTAACATTTGAACAATTCTCAAAGGTCATCATAGTTTTCCTCTCAAATATCAACGTCCAATAACTAGAAAACCATTAAAGTCTACAAAGAACCCGTGGTTAACAAGACTAAGCAAGGGGCCAAAACAAAATTTCAAAAAAAAAATTACAACATTTGATTTGAACTCCTCTAAAATAGAATTGGCCATTGCCCATTACAACTATACGACTGCATGCATGCACATTCTTTACAAAAGATATATATATATATATATATATATATATATATATATATATATATATATATATATATATATATATATATATATATATATATATATATATATATAGTTAGTCTAGTCATCATCCGACAAGCAAACCAGGTCATGACCCACTCCTCCACTTGGTGGTGGTGGTGGTGGTGGTTGTGGTGGTATATTCTCATTATCCTCCGGGAAGATGTCGGTTAGGTCCACTAAGGCATACGAAGCCCCTCCTCCACTTGGTGGTGGTGGTGGAACATAAGAAGCTTCCGGAGGGAGTGGCGGTTGGGTATTTGGGGGGCTTGTTACATGCTGACCTGGCACCATCCTCCGATAGGGTGTCAATTCAGGAGATGCTGACGTGGAAGGTTTATAAGTTCGAAGATGTGGGGCCGGGGCTCGGATATCACTGCTTACCAAAGGTCGAATATGTGGGGCTGGGGAACGAATATCACTGTTTACTAAAGGACGAAGATGTGGGGCCGGGCCACGTAAACTTCCTGCTGACGGGGTGACTGGGGTGATGTTGGGTGGCGGTCTGGTGGTGGTGGTGGGTGTCACCGGGGTGATTGTAGGCGGTGGTCTAGTGTTTGGGTTGATGTTAGGTGGTGGTCTGCTAACCGGGGTGACTGGGTTGATGGTAGGTGGTGGTCTGATTACTGTGTTGGAGAAAAGAGCCGCTGGTTGGTGAACTATTTGAAGTGGCGGTGGCGGTGGCGGTGGCGGTGGTGGAGGAGGCGGCGGTGATGATGGTGGCGGCGGTGGTTGTTGTGGTGGTGTCTGTTGTCGCCCAGATGATTGGCCAGGTGAAGATGAAACAACACCAATGGAAACGGAAGGTCTTACTGGGAATCTATGGAGTTGTTGCATTAATCCAGCTTGAGAGACTGCAAAAAAAAAAAAAAAACAAAAGGGTAAATATGGAAGAAAAAAAATTAAATATAATTTTGAGGGCATAGGCATACCTTTCTGCATTCCTGGCCCAGAATGATTGAGATCTTGACACTTGGCCCTGAAAGCCTCGGCTAAAATTTTATTCATAACAACTCTGTTAACCGTTGTATCAAGTTCCTTCTTTTTTAACTGAAAAGCTTCTTCTGCTCCTTTAAACTTTGCTTCATATTTTAGAGTTATTTGAGCAATCATGTCAGCTATTTCCTTATCACATTCAGATTTCATCCTTTGTTTCTGCATGTATACACACCCAAAAACATGAAATGCCAAAATATATATATTTATATATATATATATATATATATATATTATATATATATATATATATATATATATATATTATAAATTAAAATTAGAGACTAACCGTTTCTTCATAAAACTTTGTAACATTATCTCTATGGGCAAATAACCGCTCCAGTTCAGCTTGAAGTGGATCACCATGATTTGGTATCCGTGGAGCCACTGCCACTTGGTTAGGAAGATCAAACAGGTTTATTACAGGCTGTGCCTGTGATGTGTTCTGATTTGTGATTTCTGGTGGGTTTGAATTCTGTGTAGAAACTTGTTGTTCTTGTTGCCCACTTTGTTGGTCATTTACTGTATCAGGGGCGTTTACGTCATTTTCACAAGTGGTTTCATTGGCTGGCTGCGTATCGGTTTGATTCTCAGCCATTGGATTTGGATCATCATGAGGCTGCTCTTCTGAATTAGGATCACCTTGCGCTTCTTTCTCTTGAACTCCAAGGTCTAATAGTTGTTCTAGAAGAGACTCGTTTTCGGTTTCCTGACAAAACCAAACAAAGTTTTTTTGTTTCTTAGAAAAAAATGACCATTTTACCCTTCTGTCTAAAGTTGAATTTGAAAGACTTGATCGTGTGATTAACTTACCAAAATTGTTGGCATTGGAGGATCCGGAGGTTGAGAAGCAACCGACTGAACTGAGGGTGTATCGTCATGTGGTACACCTGCAGACGGTTGATTGCTGCTACTGGAACCACACGAATCATTCTGCTCTTGCTCTTCAACAGCATGTGCTTCCTCATGTTCTCTGATTTCATCACCACCTGGCACTCCCGTTTCACCAGTGTCATCAACACGATCCGCCACCTCAGCACCATTATCATCTCCGTTACTATTCTTCTCTTGGTTCAAATCAGCTTCCACTGGTTCAACATCATTGCCAATTCCATCACCTTCCTGAGATGGAATTTCTTCATTTACTACCCCTGCCACGTCATCAACAGTCTCATGCTGACATGGCGGAACTTCTACTTCTACTTCTACTTCTACTTCTGCTTTTGCTTCTGCTTCTACTACACTTGACGACAACACCGTTGCATCAACCATTTGTTTTTCTGAGGTATGCGAACCTGTTGACTCGATGTCATCACCTACGCCCAAACTACCCCTTTCTTTGGACTGATCCTGAACCCTACCACCATCCAATTCCAAGGGTGTTTCAGTCATTTTACCACCCGGATTCCCAACAGAAACTGAAGTTTCAGGTTTAGCTGCCGCATCAGCATCCACGTCATGAGTCAGGAGTTTTGCCTTGAGCTCTTTGAGGTGAATATCTTTATCTCTTTCATGCTCTTCAAATTTTTTCGCAAATTCTTTG